CCCTGCCACCCCCCCCCCCCACCCTGGCAGGGGTCTCTGGGCCTCAGCCCCAGGCATTCATTTGATGAGGTCAGAGGCTACGGCATTTTGAGAATGGGCACTTGTTAGGGCAGGGATGGCGAACCTTTTGAGCTCGGCGGGTCAGCATTTTGAAAAACCCTAACTTAACTCTGGTGCCGGGTCACATATAGAAATGTTTTGATATTTGCAACCATAGTAAAACAAAGACTTACATTTTTGATATTTATTTTATATATTTAAATGCCATTTAACAAAGAAAAATCAACCAAAAAAATGAGTTCGCGTGTCACCTCTGATACGCGTGTCATAGGTTCGCCATCACTGTGTTAGGGATTGATTCTGGGCTTCGGCCATTTTCGTTAACGTATCCGTTTAACGAGAACGAAGGAAGGAATGAGTAAGTGAGCGTTTGCTGGGCCCTGGCCCCACCTGCTCGGCACAAACGCCCAGCAGGAAGGACAGACGTCCACCCGTATGGATCACAGCAGTGTTGGGGGTTTGGGGGGGGGGCGGTAATGCTAGACGGCAAGCTCCATGCGGGCGAAGCAGGGCCGCTTGCCTCCCTGCTGCACCCCCAGCCCCTGAAACACTGGATAAGTGTTTGAAGAGCGAACACCCAGCCGGGCCTCACCCCCACCTCTCGCATCTCCTGACCCTCTTTCTCTTCCCCCTCTTCCCTCCCCAGGAGGCATCCGTGTGGCTGACAGCACTCACCACCCCCCCCCCCCCACCCCGGACCTTTTGGATGCGCACAGCCCTCGGGTCCCTGAAACTCACAAGGAACTTGTGTTTCTCTCCGAAGCCTTCCTTACTGCTGTGCTGCAGGACTACGGGAGGGCCCACGGCATCTCTACGGACGCCCTCACCTTTACCCACCAGGTGATCCCCAGCACCATTGGCTCCAAAGAGGAGGAGTTCTCCATCATGGTCCAGAAGACGCTCAACCTGGTCAGGAGAGCCTTCAAGGTACCGGGATGCTCAGGTCGGGAAGAGCGATCGCTCGTTTGTTCAGGCAGTCATCTGCTCCACAGACCTCACTCCGCACTCAGCACGTGCCCGGCACCAGGCAGGCAGGACACACAAGGCTCACCGCCCTCTCTCCCACCCTCACCGCCCTCTCTCCCACCGTCACTTCTCTAGAACAGGCACGATAGGGGCCAGGGCGAGCTCGGGACAAGGTGCCCGTCCCTTCTCCAGGGACCTGCCCGATCAGAGAAGACGGAACCTTCGGGGGGCACTGTGCAGGCCACCCCGCCCTCCACACAGGGGGGGAGAGCGAGCTGCCTTCTAGGCCCCCCTGGAGACACCCCAGAATTGGAGCTGCTGCCAACCAAGTTTTCTGCTTAACAGAATCAATCAGCAACTCATTCACCCCTTTTACTGTCGTTCAAAGATATGCTCCCGAGTCCCTCCCAGGTTTTAAAGTCCCAGCCTCCATGGGTCTCGTAGCTGCAGGGGTAGAAGCAGGGGACAAAGTCTGACCCCTTGTATGATCTGTCCTCTGACAGGCTGGGCCGAAGATGGTCCTTCTGGAAATGTGGGGTTTTACTGTGTTTGAAACACTCGTCAGCTCAGGATTAGCACATGCAGAGCCTACACACTTGTTTAAGGTCTGAGGGTCGCACCCGGCAACAGCTCCCCAGTACAGGGACGGGCCCCCCGCAGCTGGCGGGGAGCTGTCCGCTTCCTCCAGGCCCGTCCCCAGTGGGGCGTCTGGTCCAGGCAGGGTCCTGCCCGGGCGCCGCTGACAGCACCTCTCTTTGATCTTAGAGCACGGACCCCTCACACATCGGGGCTCACATTTTTGGATTATTCATCGAGGGAGCAAGGTGGAATCCCGAAGAGAAAATACTAGAGGACTCGCTGCCTCGCGAGATATGCTGCGATTTCCCGGAAATCTACTTCCTGCCAACCAAGGTCAGCGCCCCAATGTTTGTCACACCGCCTGGGGGCCTCCACGTCCCCTGGTTCACGGGGGAAATTGGATACCTTTTAACTCGGGGGCTCTCAGGAAGGTGGAGGCCCCCCCAGCTGCAGTCCGAGACACGAACACGTTTACAATGGCCCCAAATATTGCCAGAATCTAAAATAGATGCTATACCAACAGCCACCGTCACTTCCCAAGAACAGGCGCTGTAGGAAGATGACATCCTCCAGGCACAATCCCCATGTGCCGTTACACAGCCCCCTGACCTGCAGGATGTTTACCTCCTAACAAGCCCCCAGGTCTAGCACGTAGGAAACGTGCGCTGTGGGTGGGTTGAGCTGTGCAGCTGGACGGCTGGGTTCTCTCTCAGGTTTCCCCCGAGACGCCAGCCGCTGCTGACCCGCCGGAGTCGGAAGGCCACACCTTCGAGTGCCCAGTTTATCAGACGCCTCAGAGGTCGTCCGCTTCCATAACGACCGGCGCCCCTTCCAACCTAACGTCGGTGTTCCTGCCCACAAGGAGACCGCCCAGCCACTGGATCACCATGCAGGTCGCCCTGCTGTGCGAGAAGAATGAGAAATAAACTCCGTCCCACACCAGGTAAATGTGGACTCTGACCAGGTGTACCTGTTCCAGGCCGTGCGCGTGTAGCAGTGCTTGCCCGCGTAGAAACGTGTGCAGGCAGGCGCTCTTTCTCCGTCGTGGCTAGGGGTCCCTGTGGTCCAGGAGCGTCGCAAACAAAAAGGGAAAGATGTCTGGGGGCGTGTAATCTAAGGACGCCCGTTTCGGTCTCAGTGATCCGAGTTACACGCAAAGGAAGGAAAACCAAGGCTCTGGGTCCTATCTCTTTATTTCCAACATTTCCAACTTAAAACACAAGCAGCAAAAGGCAGCGGATATGAGGCGCTTTCTCATGACGGGGAGAGAAGTCCGTGTCCTTCCTCCGTCGCCAGGGGGAAGCACAGTGTCTGCAGACTACAGGGCGCTACGCAAACCCACCTCTGCGCACGCACGGAACTGAAGCACAGGATGCAGTGCGGTAACGCGCAGACCCATGTGGCCCACGTCAAAGCCATCCTTCAACTCAACATCTGCACTGCACTTACTAGACGCCCGCATGTTTAAGGTACTGAGATTCAAATACAGAAGTTTAGTGGATTGCTTTCCCTACAGAACAATTAATAATGAGACTATTAACTAGAATTTCATCTATTAGACTAAGAGAGAAAGGATTTTAAACTATTCCCTTGCATTGTTTTTAGCTGAATACCACACTCCCTCACAGGCAGCAGAGTTTTGGAATATAAAGAATGTACAAAATACAGTATAAACTGCATGAGCTCGGCAGTAGCAAAAACACAGCTTAAAAAACTCAAAAACATATAAAAATATTAGCCTGAAATGGCAAGTCTTCAACCTCCAATGTGTGTAAAAATGTTTAAATAGGGATGTTACTCCAAAAATATATATTTATTCTAATATTTTTTTTTCTATTTGCAAGTTTATAAAGGCAAACACACACCTGCAATTGAGGTAGAAAAGCCTAATTTGCAAACTTTGGATTAAGAAAAATACCTTCCTATGTCTTAATAGCATCTTTTACAAAATACCAAATGAATTCTATCTCAAAAATTATAATTCACATGTATTACTTTACAGAACTTAATTTAAAATACTGCAAATGTTTTTGTTAAGATACTTAGTCCTGACAATTATTTCACATTCAAAATACTGTACAGAGAAACCCAAAGTCACCATATATTACATAAAGGCTATGTATTTACATTTCCGAATGCAGTTTCAGAAGTTCAGGGTAAGCAAGCTACTACGAATGGTGTCCCTTGACACACCTCTTACTTCAACTTGAAGGAAAATTCTATTCTCTTCCTGCAGTAAAACACAATACACTGTCATTGTAACAGTGTTTCCACTTAAGAACTAACTATAAAACAAGGCCGGCACTTTTAAAATCAAACCCACAAACATGGAAAGTGTTCTTCTCAGGGCAATAACGGGACTGGCTTGCAGATTTTTAAGGGCTAGACATTTCCTATTTGAATGCAAAGTCTTAACATCTTTCTTTCCTCGTGTTAAATGTTATGATTTAGAACTCATACTCAGGGCTACAGTAAAAGACTGACTACTTGGCTCCATAGTCCTGGCTCAGAAAGGAACTTACAGAGCCTCTCAGTGCCACGAAGGGAGGCTCGCTGGGACACGCGCCGGCGGACGGTCAGTACACGTAGGGGACGATGCGGTAGGGCACGCGCTGGCAGTACTGGTCCCAGGCCCGGCCGTACTTCCGCCTGCACTGGCGCTCGTCCCGGGCCTCTCGGTGCACGAGCAGCGCCGTGAAGTAAACCACGTAGAAGTAGGGCAGGACGTGCCGGAAACCTGGGGGGCGGGAACAGCGGTCAGTGCTGTGTCTGCCACAGCCTACAACCAAGTCGTTCTGCTCTCCCTAAACCAGTTCAGAAGGTCCCGCTGGTGGTGGCCGAGGCGGTGTCTGAACTAAAAGCTCATCAGATAAGTGTGATGAATCCACTAACCACCCACTGTGATCAGGTCATTTGTCCTCCCGTCTGGCCCGGCGCTCAGTGGGGTGGCCGAGCAGGCCAGGCCGGGAGAAGACAGATCGGCCTTCGCTGCTGCTGCAGAGCAGTGTCTCAGTGTGTGCACTGAGTCGGGGATAACAAATTAATCCCCATGTATGCTGCTTAGCCAAAAGCATCAGGCACAGTTTAAAACTGCACGTTTGCTTTTAGAAGTTTCGAGGAAAACTTCAGGCTCTGTGAGTCCCTAACTCCCCTCAGAAACCAGAGGAACGAGGCCCCGCGTGTCCACAGACAGGGAGGAGCGTCTGCCCTGGGCTCTGCCCACGATGTCCCAACAAAGGCCACCTCCTGTGGACGGACAGTCAGGTGAGCGCGCCTCCTGGTGCTTACCACACGGGAGGGACCAGGCCAGGGCCATGATGAGGTCACCCAGGTAGTTGGGGTGGCGAACGAAGCCCCACCATCCGGAAACTAGAAGGTTCTTTCCCGTTGCAGTATGAATGGTCTTTAAATCTATAGGAAAATAAAAACACATTTGTAATGACATGTAGGCAAATAGAGACATGATAATTATGCAATACAAATGCGATAAATAAAAAACCAGTGCTTACGTGCAAGCTTTGGATCAGCGGGATTTTTCCGGAATGCATTTTTCTGAGCATTTGCACATCGGAAGATTACATATCCACAAACTGCAAATTTTTAAAAATTCATGTTAGCCATTTCCCTTAGCTATTATTTCTGAGCTCTGAGGAAATTTAACAAACTTCTCACACTGCTTCCATCCTAACAGCCCACATTGCAATAAAGCCAGGTCTAGAGCTAGTATAATGAAGAGCAGGCTGTCTCCTCTGTGAGGTACGCTGCCTGCTGGCCGTAACATGAACACTTTGGTTCATTAAAACTCTAGCTCAGACTCAGTGCTACGTCTTGCACTTAAATATATGCCAAATCTCACTGCAATCCTACAAGCCAGTAGCTTTATTTCAAAATGCCCACGCGAACAGCCCCTGGCCTCTCACTGACTATGAAAGTGGTAAACGATTCCTATGATTAGCTCACCTGTAACATGCCTTCCCACAGGTTGACGTGGGTAAACCAAACCAGAATTTCCTCTTGTGCCAGGGCCCCAATTAGTGGCAGAACTAGCCCTACCTGAAGCTCAGTGCCCATCTCTTCGCCTGCCCTCTGGTGGAGGTAAGCGACAGTGTAGACAGATGGCCCTTGAAGCTCGTCCACACCACATCCCCCAACTACTGCTCACTCTTCCCACCCATTTTTCTTTGTTAAATGACATTTAAATATATAAAATAAATATCAAAAATAGAAGTCTTTGTTTTACTATGGTTGCAAATATCAAAAAATTTCTATATGTGACACGGCACCAGAGTTAAGTTAGGGTTTTCCAAAATGCTGACACGCCGAGCTCAAAAGGTTCGCCGTCACTGGTGTAGACAGATGGCCCTTGAAGCTCGTCCACACCACATCCCCCAACTACTGCTCACTCTTCCCACCCATTTCACCCACTAAAATTCAGACCGAACCCCATATCCTCCAGCGAGAAGGTCTCTCGACCAGTCCCTCTGTCCTTCCATGGGCCTCTGCGAGCGTCTGAGTCTGTTTCCCCTGGTGGAAGGGAAGCCCTAAGAAGGCAGGCCTCCTCTCCTCTCAGAGGTGCCACCAGAAAAGATGAGTCGTTACTAAAACAATTAACCAGTTCACTGCCACGCAACGATATTTTGAATGTAACTGTGTCTATAGATCAGGGGTCCTCAAACTACGGCCCGCGGGCCACATGCAAATACAAATACTGTATTTGTTCCCGTTTTGTTTTTTTTACTTCAAAATAAGATATGTGCAGTGTGCATAGGAATTTGTTCATAGTTTTTTTTTTAAACTATAGTCCAGCCCTCCAACGGCCTGAGGGACAGTGAACTGGCCCCCTGTTTAAAAAGTTTGAGGACCCCTGCTATAGATGCTTATGGTTAAATTTAAAAGCAAACTGGTTGATATAAAAATTCTCTCTTTAGAAAAAACTGATAGTTGCCAGATAGGAGGCAGGTTGGGGGGACAGGTGAGGGGATGAAGAAGCACAAACCGGCAGTTAAGTCCTGGGATGTAAAGTAGCGCATCGGCATATAGTCAATAGTATGTCCTGGCTACCCCAGTGGCTATCAGGGGAACCCCTTCTGAAGGGCTAGGAATAGCTCATCACGCCCCCTGAATGTCCACTGTCAATAAAAAATCTTAAAGATCTCTCTCTAGTAGAAATCTACTAAAAACCTAAACATGAAGCATCCATTCTCTTTGCAAACGCCTTACCACTCACCCATCACAGCTCGCTTCCAGTTGAGCTCATACGGCCCCTGAAAAGGGCGTGTCACACAAACATGGAGGCACAGGGCGCACTGCGTTCAGAGCCCAGAGGGAAATGAGCACTCACGTTTCAGAGCGACAATCAGAGCCGCCAGCGGCCAGGACACTTCGTTGGGGTGGAGGACCAGGTAGAAGGCTTGGAGGCTGTAGACGAAGGGCACCCACACCAGGTCCCCGAAGGCCAGCATGAAGCCGAAGCCGTCGTGGATGATGTCCATGGTGGTCAGCACGGCCTCCTGCGGGAGAGGCGGGAAGAGAGGTTTGAAACAGAGTTTGGGGGAACGTTTCTGTGTGTAAAGTATTCAAGTGAAGTCTAGTTTAGAGTCAAATTCCTAAGGGGTTGGGGAGGGGGAGCCTGGGTCCCTGGCCTGCGTCTCCATCCCGTCCCTCTGACCCTGACACCACAGGGCTCCGAAATGCCTCGTGTGCCCCCACACCTCCGCCCAGGACACCCTCTCTGACCTCAGCTAAAGCTTCCCTGAGGCTGCCACTCCTGCGGGCTGAGCGAGTGTGCCTGCACTGTGACCCCCGAGTCTCGCACTCCCCCCCCCCAGACTAAAAGGCAAACAGCCAGGACCCGTGGCTCCGCCTCATCCCCCCAGCACCCTGCCTGTCTGCCACGGATCCCGTGCTCAGGGATGTTTGCTGGAGGAATGACATCACCAACTGCATGTTTCTAGTCCACATGCACCAATGTCATTTCTAATCAGAATCTGACTTTTCGGTACATTTTCCACTTAAGGAAATAAGCTACCTGGCAACACGGCCACTTCTCATGGTAAATTAAGGAAGTGAATGCCATCCCTTGAGCATTTGGTGAGCAGGTGGCCCTGGACACCTGCAGACACCCACCACCTGCTGTGCTCACCCCACGTCGGCTCAAAGCACCCCAGGGACTGCCATCCCTCCATCCAGGGCACCTCCTCACTTGGTGTAGAAGCGAGGCCCAGGGGCAGGTTTCTCACCCACAGGCAGAGGTGTCTGCTTTTGAAACTAGTTACCTCGTTCCAGAGCGCATCCACCACGTATAAGAGCTGGAAGCTGTTCACCAGAATCATCGCCAAGGATGGAGCAGCACGATGCTGCAACTTCATCTCAGCCAAAAGCATCACCAAGTTAATCACCACCTGAAACCAAAGGGCCAGAATCGTCCCCCACGGCCCTCGGAGAAGGTCCTTGGCACCCACGGGGGACAGGGGGACGACGCCAGCTTTCCCAGCCACCGCCACGGTGATAAGACACGTCACCCATGAACCCTGGACAGGTGCACTGAGAGGACGGAATGTCGTGTCTGTGGTGGTCTTGCCCAAGTGCATCACTTCGACCACGAGGAAACACTGGGTGCTGGCAGGGTGTTCAGCTTGCTGGAACACTGCCCCATACTCCAAGAGGTTGTGGGTTCGATTCCAGATCAGGACACATAAGGGAGGCAACCGATCAATGTCTCTCTCTCTCTCTCTCTCTCAAAATCAATAAAAACATATCCTCGGTGAGGATAAAAAAGGAGAAAAACTAACCCAATGAAAGGATCCTCCTCAAGGGTCAAGGTCCGGGAGACAAGGGAAGACGAGAGGAGACCAAAGCACAGTAACCAGAAGTGACTGTGGGCTGCAGAGGATCCACAGAGCCAGGCCCGCTCCGGGGACCCTGTGACCCTCACAGCCTGGGTTTAGTCACGACCCTGTCCCAGTGCTCTGTGCTGCCCCGGATCATGGCTGTGGCTGTGCCAGATGCTAACACTGGGAAGTGGAGGGATGGATCTAAGGGGACTCTTTACTGTTGCAACTCCACACGTGTGAAATATGTTTGTTCTTTTTCCTTACATGAATCCGCCAACACTACCCCTTCCCTACAAAAATAGAAACAACTGTGAAAATAAACCCTTGTAAGGTTTAATAACCTGTAACAGGCATCTTAACCTCTGGACTATATTCGCCGTAAGAAAATACTTTAAGTAGGCAGATTTAGGGAAAGCTGTAATTATTCCTAAAATATACCACCCACCGCTTCCTTAAAACTGTCTGCAATTCTAAGTCCAAGACCAATTTGCACTACTGAACTGAAATTTAAAACACATACCCATCCGATCAGTCCAGGGCGCAGTTCACAAAAGTATTTGAGATCAAAAGTCCCGATCCGAGGGTTTAGCTCTCGGCCAATGAAGAAATCGTAGATGGCGTTTCCTGAGAAGGGACAGTTCTTGTTCACACAGCTTTTGGGAAACACCCTATTCCAGACCCAACTGTGAGGCTCTCACAGGCACAGCTGTCCTCTGCGCCCGGGTCTACTCCACACCCCCACCCCCCCCCCCCACCCCAGCAGGAGGACCCGGGGCTGAGCAGCGGGGCGCCGGCCCCCCTGGACCATCCACCTGCTGTACAGCGTGGGGCCAGATCCCTGACTTTAAGGGAACTGAATACTTTTTAATGTAGCTTATAATGTTTCTAAATAAGCAACGTAATTTTCTTATGCTTAAATACTTTAGGTCAGAATCAACGAATTTGAAATCTCTTTGTTGTGCTGTTTTTTTTAATGCTATTTACTACTTGGGACAAAAAGTAATATTTGTCATAAATTATGACGCTACTAACCTTTACTAAAATGTTACTATAAGTTACTAAAATGTCTTACTGTCATCAAGTGACTAAAGAAGGGAAGAGAAACAAAGTATTAAGAAATATAGTTTCTTAATTTTCTTTTTTTAAAATTTTTTTCTCCATCTTTTTATTTGTCCTTATTTCTCTTCCCCGCCCATAAACTGAAGCTGGAAAGGCACTGTGCACAAGCCCACGCCCGGGAGTGGGGGTGAGGGTAAGGGTGGGGGGGTGCACTCCCCACACTGCTCACCAGAGCTGGCCGGAGACAGTTCCCCCCGGGGCGCACGCAGGCCCCGCGCGTAGAGATAAACACTCAGGCCGGCAGCAAACACGAGGGCCGCCAGTGCGAACTGAAGGAAATGGTTGTACACGTAGTAGAGCTCCACGCCCCAGAAGAGAGTGGCTCCCACGGCTGCCGACGTCAGGATGAAAGCATAGAACCCTTAAAAAAGGCAAGAACACCCACGTCAGCCAGCGTGCACGTGAGCTGGATCCCAGTACAGAAGAACGCAAGGTTATTTTTAAAGTCCTAATTTCATTATTCAGGCCAAACATGCACAAACATGAACAGGCAATCTATACAGATGCCCGTCTCTCAGATAACTTCTCAAATACTTTTACACGCCGGCTGCAGGTATGAACAGTTCACGTGCATGCCCTTCAGACCAGAGAGAGAGGCTACTGTTTACTGTTCTGGTGTAATCGACTCTGGGGGTTTACACTCAACACTTCTGAGCTTTAAGTCATCAATTTGAGTCTTAAAAAAAATCACCATTTAGTCTGTACTGGAGTCTTCTTCCATCGGCCAGAGGTGTTCCTTCCACCACCTTAAAAGAAAAGAAACTGAATGTGAAATCTTAGAAACAGCACTAGTGTCATATACTAGATGTCTTCTAATGTCACTCAAACCTCTTGTCCCAGGAGGACTGCCTTTGGCAGGGAAACGTGGCAGCAGGTTTCAAACATCTTACGGCAAACGCTTTGATGAAGCAAGCCCACCCTCAGGAACTTGTCTTAAATATGAACTAATAGTAACTGCTCCGTGTATGAGACCATCACAAGAGCTGCCCCACGTGCCACAAGACTGGACGGGCTGTAGGAGCACCTGTAGATTCAGCTCTAGCTCAGAACCTCCAGGGACGGCCCACTGCTCACACTGGCGTGTGGGGGGCCCTTTCCGCCCGCTCTCCCACTCGCCCGCCCGCTCTGGCCCATGCGCCAGCTGATGATACGCACTCAGATACCGACTGGCTCTGCCATTTACACACCACACCCCCGACTTAGTCATTAACGGGATTGTTTCCTCCGTAAGAGCCTGAGCACTTTGTTTTGGGACCACTCAGCTCTTCTCAGACCCCCTGGTGTGCCCGGGCCACAGGTACCTGAGAAACACACCCCCTGACCGGGACGAGTTCAAGGGAAAAGCCCTCTCGTTCAATGGCAGCCACGTTTACCACCCAAAATAACTACTGAAAATTGCAAGTAATTTTAAACTGTCAAATACGAACATGGTATCATTTTCCGTGGGCTGCACTCCTTTACCCTTTCATTAGCTTTGAAAGGGCACCCAGGAGAAATGTCATACCGTTTCAGATCACAGGATTAGCAAAACCCCACATGCTAATTCCAACTGATACTTACCTATTAAAGGTGTCTCACAAATACTGCGTTGGGTTTTTACTTTCTATTTCTGTGTGTGTGTGTATGTGTGTGTGTATGTGTATAGATAGATAGATAGATAGATAATTTAGGCATCACAACTGCTTTTCTTAATAAATCTTATCTAGTTTGAGCTCACCTTACCTAAATTAATCTGAATTTGTGATTTTCACTGGAGAGCCTGAATGTCTATATCACCACACTCCTCGCTGCAGCCAAGGATGTGCTGGTGAGATTCCAAATATTTAAGCCTGCAGCTCTAGCCCCGTCACTGGCATCCACCACTCCTAGCAAACCTGATCCTCTGGTTTACAGACAGTTGGTACATTTGCAAAGCCCTAAGAACAGGATCTCTAGATGAATTATTTATTGCTTAGGGATCTCAAGTTCCTTTCAGTCTATCCAAGTACTCTACTGAAAGAAGGAAAAACTACACTTAGCAACAAGGACAAATTTTAGACACTGCTTGAGGCTGAAAGAACATTAAATGTTCCTGACAACAAATTTCAGAAAATCAGAAACTCATATTAAAAATAGCCTGGCTGGTGTGGCTTAGTGGTTGAGCATCGACCCATGAGCCAGAGGTCGCCAGTTCAATTCCCAGTCAGGCACAGGCCTGGGTGGCAGGCTTGATCCCCATTACAGGGTGTGAAGGAGGCAGCCGATCGATGTTTCTCTTTCATCGATGTTTTTATCCCTCTCTCTAAAATCAATAAAAAGGTATTTTAAGAATATATTTAAAAAATAAGTGAAAAGTGCAGGCTGAATCCACTAAGCTCAGCAGCTTATCAACTGATCACTTTAAATCCTGTATCTGAAATAACTTTTACTGAGGGGGGGGGATTTTTTTAACCTCTACCATTAGGCTATTTCGCACAATAGTTTATTCTTTTCTACTTGGCTTGCAAAGTTACACAAGAAACCTCAATTGGAGTTTTAAAGTTCCACTTAATGGGCAGGTGTTACAGGGTTCAAGGCAAAGGCTTACCAGACTAAGTGAGGGTCGTTAGGAGCGAGGACAGCTTTCAGCGTAGACCTGCTGTGACCTCGTGCACGTGAGCACGGAGAGGGAGGAAACGCGCAGGGCCCTGCCCCGCCCCCGGCAGAAACTTACCTTCCCGATGGGCAGCGCGTAGAACAAAGCCTGAACACAAAACCAGAGGAGGTAGGCCCCAAACACTCTGGCTTCCCACAGCTCAGACAGGGCTGGCAAAGGAGGCGGGAAGTTCAGAAGGCTGGGCTCCCTCTGCCTACACATCAACAGCAACAGGAAGAGGAAGCCAGGCAGGCCGAGCATGATAAGAAGCGCACCTGCAGACAATCAGGGAACATTCAAGGCTCCATTTCCAACCCAGTGTTTTCTGTTGTTTTTCTTCAAGAATCATTTGGGTTTTTTAAGGTCAGAACTCTAGTCTGGCCAGCTGCTTGAAACCAATTTTCAGAGTATCATCAAAAAGACCTAATCTCAAGAGGTTAATGGGGAGGGGTGGGGGGGAGGACCTATGTAATACTTTCAACAATAAAGATTTTTTTTAAAAAAAGCCCTAATCTCTATCATGTCCTGTGGGCAAGCGACCGTGGTCCTAAAGCAGTAACACAGCAGCTGCCCAGCACTGACAGCTCACACCCAAGCTCTAGAACACTGAAAATCCAGCAAATTAAGATCGGAACAGCTAACGATTATCAGCCTGATCTTTAAAACTTTGTAAGTTTCTAACAATTAAAACAGCATCACCTTCAGGTAACACGGCCAGACTGGATGCTGGGCGCCATCTTTAATGGAGCAGCTAGACAACTTACAAGATCAAGCAAGGAATCCTGCAGGACTTGGGACCATTTGCCAAGAAGCACTTTCCTCTCCTAGCTCATAAAACTCCAGCAGCACCACCCACTTAATAACTCCAAGCCTCTGAGCACCTCAGATCTTTGACTCATAATCAAACCCGCCTGGCAGGTGGGGTAGGCCCATGCCCCATCTCATGTCCACAGCCTCCCTGCTCCTGCCCACGCCAGGCCGTCACCTCAGGGCTGACGAGCAGATTTCCTTGTCCCTGATCGTCCACACCAACCTTCCTTCTATCGCTTCTTTAATCAAAACCTAACAGATTGCTAAACATCTACAGCCACTCTGGCACCCTCTCTACTCTATTATAATCCTCAAAAATGCTCCCACCTGGCCAGCTGGTGTGGCTCAGTGTCAACCCAAGAACCAGTAGGTGGCCTGCAGGAGGCAGCCGATCAATGACTCTCTCTCTCTCTCCCCCGCTCCCTTCCTCTCTCTGAAATCAATAAAAGGCTCCCACCTTAGGCCTTTGGACCTGCTGTTCCTTTTATTTTTTTTAAAATCTTTATTGTTGACCTCTTCTAGCCTGCCCCCCACCCCCGCCTTCACCGCCCTATTGTCTGTGTCCATGGGTTATGCCTATATGCACACAAATTCTTTGTTGATCTCTTCCCGCCCACCTCCCTCATTCATCCCCCCCCCTCCCCCGCCTTCCCTCCTCCCTGGGCTCCCACCTGGCTCTTTGCCTGGCCTGCTTCACATCTTCAGAGAAAGGCCTTTCCTGTTCACTTTATCACAACTCCCGCTGGCCCGGCCCCCGGCCCCCGCTCAGCCCGGCTCTGACACCTACCAGGGACTCCTCCAAACTCCAAGTCCTTCGTCTGCGTGGCTGTCATGTCCAAGGTTCTCAAAAATGTAGGTCCTTTCGTAACAATTTTTTCTTCCTCTAAGTCTATTTTTTTAAATTTGCTCTCTTCTCTTCTTGGACGAAGGCTATGCTGTGTAGATGTGTAACTACTTTCTTGTGACAAAGGGAATTGTTCCTGGTTAAAAAAATAAAAGGCACTAATTATCTGTCATCAATCGTTATCATTAATGCTACCACATTAACTAACTCAGCATCGTAATATAGCCATAAACTAATAAGGATAAATTCATTAAATTATATTCAGTCTCAATGGAAGGACAGGCTTTTAGAAAAGATGTAAGAGGTGTTGTGGTTTTCAACGCGCTTCCTTAGGCAAAGTCCCTTTAACCAGAGGCCGAGGCGAGAGAGCCGCATACCTGCGCGCTCCTGTGCGCCATGTCGTTCCTCGCTCGCTGCTCCGGCTCCCCGTTGTGCCGGCTGATGCTATTTCCAAACGGCTTCTAAATTGAAGGACATAAAGCATTTTAACCACACGAATCGTAACTTATTAAAAAGTAACCTGATGGTAAATCTTGACTATTGTGATAAATAAAGCCAACGATTTTCACAGCTTTAATTCTGAAGAATTCAGGATACTGTTGTTAAAAAGGAAAAGGAGTAAAATTGACTAGAATTTCCCCATCTTCAAAAGATTGGATTTTACAGTATAGATTCCACATAAGTTCTTTCGTCTTTTAAGCATAATTAGACTCAATGTTATCATTTCATTGTTCAATAACAAATATGCTAATATTTACTGTGAGAGTTAGAGAAGTAAAAATTGGCCAATTATTTCATGAATTGGTTTTTAAAAATGGCGAAAAGACATTCACTGCCCCCAAAAGAGCCCATAATGGGAAGGTGAGAAATAGTGGGCACTTCTAGAGTGTTCCTAGGACCTACACACACACGGCGCCCTTTCTGAGCTGCATGCTGTCTGGGTCTTATGTGACCTTAACTCTGTCCTTGCCCTGACTCGGTCTCCTTCCTTGAATGTGCATTCTCCCCCAGCAGCTGACGGGTTTTCTCATCAGAGGGGACGGGAAAGTGCGTCAGCTTGCAGGAGATATTTTCAGCAAAGCATGGCTGACATCTGTCACTCTGCTCCTTTGTAAGTCAGAGGCAAACTATAAAGCTAATAAACCAGGAGGAGGAAAACACATTAACCCCAAGCCTATCATTTGGGAGGCCAGCTGGCACAGAGCAGCATTAATTCAGCATCAAGTTCCAGTTCAAATCCAAGTCTGACTGCAGCGAGCATGCAACACACGCTGAAGTTCACCCAAGTGCCAGTGAGCCACTTGGCAGCAAATGGACCCACCTAAAGACCACCGACAACTACACTCCGTTTTCAAATGCCCGACCTATGACCCACAGTAACTACAAATGCAACCCTGAAACACACTAGTCACGTAGCTGACCCTAAACCTGCCTACTGCAACTGACGGGATACTCGCACAGTGAGGCAAAGTATTGCAAAAGATACAACAAGAACAAGGAAGAGGTGATGTTCAAAGCCACATGCAGCTTACGTCTGGTCCTCCCTGTGCCACACCCCATCCTCAATGCCATGGTGCAGGGCTATAAGGGTACACTGTGAAATCCCGTGGCCACTAAATGCTAAAAATGAGAACGCGGAAGTGGCCCCCAGCACCTGCTCCTGCACCTGCGCCCCGAGAGAGCCACTGATGGAATGGTCCGACTCAGGAGTAATTCTCAAAACGCAAGTTAAGATGGTGAGTGGAAAATCTGTGACAATCATATTGGCGAAAGGAGTTCTAATAATACCCAGAATGAGAAAATGGGCATGCATACACTACCGATGCTGGTACACACTGTCTTGAAGTGATTTGGCAAAAGCCTCAAATCTGCTCTATCCGTCTGACGTAGCAAAGGAAGTATCAGATGTTGCATAAGAATATTTTGTTTATAATAGTGAAAATTTCAACAGAAAAAGCTAAATGTCCACCAATAAGGGAGCTGAATTTAACAATTCTGTTACATACATATAACATGGTATAATCCAAACAATACCATAAAAAATGATGTGGAAAAATATAATGCAGAGGTTAGTGCTAATTTTTAAAAGTTTTTAAATCTGGCTACAAAACAGTATGTACATATGCTATTTTTTAAGGCTATTAAAAATCTATGAGCATTTTATCCATAAAAGGTAACAATAAATGAATAAATGAAAAATTACCTTCATTCAATTCTTTTTACTTAAAAATTTGTTTGGTCTACTATCTAAAATATTCATTGTGCAAGATCCTTATAGGCCCCACATACCCTGAGGGTTCCAAGCTTGGACTTTTAAAGTAAATCCATTAAAACAATCTTTGAAAGGAAAAGCAATCGAGTATATAAATGCCAAGGGGGCCAGAATATATTCATTTTATACCTGAGCTTTTATAAGCTATAAAAACTTAGTTCAAACTACAATCTATTACATACTTAAAAACTGCTTTTTAAAAACACAATATTGCCAGCCGGTGTGGCTCAGTGGTTGAGCATTGACCTATGAACCAAGAGGTCACAGGTTCCATTCCTGCTCAGGGCACATGCCCAGGTTGTGGGCTCGATCCCCAGTCGGGGGTGTGCAGGAGGCAACCAATCGATATTTCTCTATCCTCCTTGTCTCTCTAAAATCACTATTTTTTAAAAGCATATTAAGAAAAACACACACAGTATTAAATAGCACTCTTTTAACTTAAAAACATTCTTTTTCATTGGCACTTAAAGGCGTTGTACCTTCTATTCCAAACATTCTTTTTTTTTTATGAAATCTGCCATAATCATTGCCTTAGAATTTGATGTTTCACTGACATTTTCATATTAACTGCAAATAATATGAGTAACCAGATCCACAAAGGGAAGACGGAGTTTGGACAGACTAAACACTGTGTAAGGATAAAGATGTCCCGAAGGCGTGCACACATACCAATACCAGTGGAGTCAACTTCACTTCCAACACTTCCTTCTTCATTTCCTTGATGTCAACATGGTGTGAGGCGGAGGCAGATCGGCGGGAACCCTTAGCTGCTCGGCCGGGGGAGCGGGAGCGGCCGGGGGAGCGGGAGCGCGACCTTGACCGACTCCCTCGTCGTCTGGACGGAGAGCTGGAAGTTGAGCCACTTTTCCTTTGCCTAAAGGAACCTAAAGGCTGGAGAGGGAGCAGAAGTCATACCACACGCAGACAGACCCACATTCGAGAGGCAGCAAAGGCCATCGCTGGTTCCATGAACGCTAACACCAGCCGGGAAATGCTGGGGCCTGAGACGGCTGATGAGCCAACGAGGATGCTGCTCTAATGACCCCTCTCTCAGGAGACAAAGGCAGCCTTTCCTCTCCTGATTCTTCTTTGAAGCGCTGCCAGAAATGAATGTGTTTAAACCAACTAGCTGTACGTCTCCCCGAGAACAGAGACAAGAAGAGTTACAATGACACTGATTAAAGCTGAGATGATGGGCAAAAGAAGCCTGCACACAAACAATGGGAAGAGTAGCCCCCAGTTTCACTCGGAACAACACCCACAGGCAGACCTTGGAAACGAGTGCAACTTGGACACCTTATGACGCTTCACCCGCCCTCGTCCGGGGTTCCCAGGGCCCCAGACCTGGGAAGGCAAACTTCCCGGCCAAATCCCTCCCACCTGTTTCGGGTGGCCCCGGAGCTAAGCGTGGCTTTGCAGTCTTTAACTGGTTGCAAACAAAATCAAAAGAAGAGACTTGGTGACACGTGAGAATTCTCTGAAGTTCCCATTCCAGTGTCGGTAAATCAAGTTTAGTTGGTGCACAGCCGTGTCCGCTCCCCTCCGGCTGCCTGGAGCTGCTCCGCATGCGGACACGGACACGACAAGCCCACAAATCCTGGGATATCCACTGTCTGTCCCTTTATTCAAAAGCTTTGCAGGCCCTGCCCTAGAGCGCGCTCACTGTGGTGCCAAGGCTATGGGTGCAAACAAGGAACGGAATTGCAAATAGGTGTGTAGAAACTTTTATAGCATTTTGACAAAGGAATTTTATATCTGTTGAACCCAATAATAAAGAACTTATTTCATACATCTTTTTCCTTTGTGAGTACTTCTACATCACGGATCGGATATTTTAAGGCCCAAGCCCTCAGCAGATGGGGTGAAGAGGCCAGACTCAAATCTAATGCATGTCACGCTCCTGACTGAATCCCGTGTTCAGGATGAAGCCCTCACCCCTCCAGTTCTGACCCCTCCTCCACTGTGCCTCCCCCTCCACACCCTGGCAGCACCTGGCTGTCGGTGTCCCCCAGCGAGGCTTTTGGTCTGCTGCCCTCTGTGGAGGCCACCCCTCCGGCACCTGAGCTTCCTATTCTGTCTCAGCACTCGGCTCAGGGGCCACACCTCGAGGAGCCTTCCCTAACCCCCCAAATGCCTGTCACCCCATGGATGAAACCAGGACCGACCCGGGAAGCATCGCCTTCTCCAGGGGACGGGCATCTTCTCGGGAACAGGGCGCTGTGTCTCACTCATACATTCCCGGAGCCAAAACAGTATCTGACCCAGAGCAGCAGCGCGACCCTGTGCCTTCAAACGGAGCCAGAACTGACTGCTCTAACCTCAAAACCACACCTACAGTCAGTTACACCCCCACCCCCCGCCCCCCAGTATAAACACGCTCGGTGACCCAGAGGAGCACTTACCTTGATGTCACTCTCCTTCAACTCCAGCTCCGTCCCATCTTTGTATTTGACCGTGTAAAGCTGGGACTTGCTGTCCTGGCTCAGAATCTCCACTTCATAATACAGGGAACTCCCAGGCCACCGGCCTCTTACCACTTCACCGTCGGCGAATTTCCTACTTGGCATTTTTGCAAATCAGTCTGAACAGTTTTAAAGATAAAAAAGGGGGAGTCAGTGCAATACACACATTTGTCCTTTTTTTTTCTCAGATTGGACACTAAAACACAACTCTCCAAAACTTTAACTGGTCAAGATTTTAGGGTCAAAAAGATCACTGGAGGGGAGGGTGTACCCCCCCCCCTTATTCTAAAGGTGAGAAACAAAAGCTAAAGGAATGTGAACTGTTTTGTCGAGTCAGCACAGTACAGAAGTGGCCCTTCTGCCAGTCGTGTCTCCCTGGGAATCACTGCACACAGGATAGTTTAGTCCCCAGGGTCCGGGTGACACTCAGGAGTAACATGGCCACACACCACATGGTTGCCTATACCAAACGCTGTCACCTCCGGTGACCACATTACCTGCCAACCAACAAGGCACAATCTCACAAAGGATCCGTTTTCTGACTTATAAATTTGTATCTAGTCTCTCAAAGACTTAAAAAAATATATTCAGTTTTTAAGTATAAATACCTTCATTAAAAACAACAAACCATGAAACAGACTGTCTAGAAAAATCAAGGATGTATAATTAGCATTATTATAACTCATCAACAGGGAGAAAAAAAAATTCCAAATCTATAATGAACAGCAAATTTGGGGGGTCTTTCTAGTTTTCAAGTCTTACAGCTCAAGTTCCAAATGCATACCGAGTCACGGCCAACCTCATACCCGGGCTGGTGCACACCTGGCCTTTATCCCCAGTTACAACATGCTTCGCCACGGAACCAAAACATGGCCCACAAAGCCTTGTGTGAACGACACTCAGAAGCCACAAGCAACCTACAGAAACTGCTACTTACATGAGGCCTGTTTGCCGCCCTTTTCTAAACATCAGCTGACCGCTGGGCGCACCAGCTCTTAGGTGGTAAACTTCTCCCTCCCTGCCCAGCAGATTCACACCGTGCCCCTGACCTCCAACACCAACCACACTAGCTGGGCCGAGGCTAAGCAGCAGGCGGTTACCATGGAGACGTCTCCCCCTAAATCACCTTCATCTCACCAACTAAGCAACGCCCGACATACCACCTGAGCATAATACGCATGCTTACCCAGCTCCGGCAAAGAGCGGATTCTGTAACAAGAACAACATTCGAGAACTTCTGAAGGCTGTGGAGTTCGGAAAGGAGAAAGTTACCCTCCCCAAGAAAACACTCTTTCGTAAGCACCGTGTTTCTGCAGTTAATCACCTGAGAAAAACTTAATAAGCTTCACTCATTGAGAAAGATAGCAGCGAGGTTGGGAGATGAAAGGAAACACAACTGCTTATCTGGTGATTAGAGGGTGTTAGTTCATTCACACGTCAGGTAATGGACAGCTTTCTTCCCAGCGCCTACCCAGATAGCGAGATAGCGAGATCGCTGAGGGGTGATGAATGGGCTTGGGCCTGGGGCCCAGGGCAGAGGAGCCCAGCTCTGGGGACCAAGTGGCACCTGGCTGAGGAGTCACCAGGGGGCCCTGGGGAGGCAGGGGCCGCGGACACCTTGGGGCAGGGAGGAGGGGCACAAAAAAGGAAGGTGACAACAGCAAGCTGTGCCTATTTCAACATGCAGCGTGAGCCTCCAAGTTCCAGGAAAGAGGAAGGAAATGTGCCCTCCTCCTCTCTTCTCTGCACCCCGCTTCTCCCTGGGCCCCCCAAAATCACACCCCTGTGACTGATACTCATTTTCCAACGCTGGCCCGCCAGGGTGAGAGAAGGCAGCCACATCTTTCTACGTAAAGATGCCACTCAGGTTTCAAACAACTCTGTCAACTTCTGAAACGGCCCTGAGCAGCTGCTGTACCTTTCAGAGACCGTACTGGCATCTTCCTGACACCGATTAAATATTTGGGGTTAAACAAAATATCTAATGGACACTTGGCAGGTCTCTAAGCTCACTTAAAAAAAATTTAATAACTGGGACTTGAGAGCGATGTCCCACACGGTGGTTGAAAGAGAAAAGGCAAACCAGCTCTCCTGACGAAACCACCGTCTTACAAACGTTCCCAAAGATGAAAGCAGCAACGAGCACCCCCGCCCCCACCGGGCACAGGACCCACGCACCGCGGTCAGAGGTGAGGATACGGCGCAATCACACCCTAACACCCAGGCCGGAGGGAATTGGCCAAGGAAGGACACCCACATACCATCCATCATATCATCCATCGGGGACTCCCCTAAGGGAGGCCAGAGCCGCACCAACAGGCTGCCCTGGAGGTGTGTGAGCCAAGTGTGTCCAGAAAAACTGCTCCCGCAACACCATGTCCTCCTCCCCCCGCGAGCGGTGGAAACAGGAGACCCTCACTCAGGCTTCTCCCCGTGAAGCCACCGGCGTGCTACCTTCAGCGTCCATCTGGCCCCAACAGATCACTACTCATCAACCCCACAGCAGGCTGCTTTTCTCTGCTGATCAGAGGAATACGCGGGGTCTCTGGTCATCTCTCCTTCTCTTCTCCAAATTAGTCTGAACCAGCGGTTCTCAACCTGTGGGTCACGACCCCTTTGGCGGTCGAACGACCCTTTCACAGGGGTCGCCTAAGACCATCCTGCAGATCAGATATTTACATGACGATTCATACCAGTAGCGACATGACAGTGATGAAGTAGCAACGAAAATAATTTTATGGTTGGGGGTCAGCACATGAGGAACTGTATTTAAAGGGCCGGAAGGTTGAGAACCATTGGAAACCGGGAAGTTCAAATGGAGTCTGGCAGCTTCCCCTCAACCCGGGAGCCCAAGGCGGGCCCACCAGGTAAACCCCCAGCAGGAACCACCCCAACTCCCCACCCCCCCAACGCCGCCTTGCTCCGTGCTCCCAGCTCGGGATGCAAAGAAAGGCCACCCCTTGGCTGTAGAGGCAGAAGAGCCTGGCTTTCCCCCTGAGAAATAAAAACGGAAAGTAAGAAACCTTCCCCTCCTACTTACTCCCTTCCCCTCCTCTCTAGCCATCCCTGGACTCGGGGCTCAGTCTCACTTAGGGTCCCCGCTGCTGCCCTCCCGCAGCCCCCCATCCTGTCCTTCGCGGGACTTTGCTACCAGATGTGGTTACAGATTCGCTCGTGTTTGTTATTTGCCAGGTCCCCCGGGCTCGGGGCAGCCGGCCCCCCGCCCCGGCTCCCGCAGCAGGTGACACGCACGCACACAGGCTCCCGGCTGCACCCTCGGGTCGCCCGGGCGCTGTCCAGTGTCACCCAGCCCGACCGCCCTGCAGCTCGTGCAAGCAAACAGGCCCCGTGCAATCGAGCGCGTCCTCGGGGCCCCTGGAGGTTGCTACAAGGTGTCGCTCTGGAAGTTTTAAACGCGTTAAAATTTAAATAAAAACAACAACACGGAACTGAGCTTTGGTAAGCAGCGCGCCCACCTGCCTAACGATCCGTTTCTGGGCTGCGCGGAAACACCTGGCGAGAGCGCGCCGCCCAGGCGAGTCGGGCACGACCCTCGGGGCCATGGCGACCCGTCCAGCGCGAGTGCGTCACCCCCGCTCCCCCACGTCCCCGTCCGCCTGCCCCGCTCCCCCCGGGCAGGACCCGCCGAGACACCAGTTGCCCATCAAACAGGCGCTCGGCGCGGACCTGGGGGGGTCGGAGGGGGGCTGTAGCTGCAGGGCGGGGGCAGGGGGCCGGGAGCCGGGAACCGACC